AAGCTTCTCGTGTTGGAACAGCAGGCAGCAGTAGGTGTTAATACCTGAGACCCTGGCCTCTTGCCACCTACCCTACCCCTTTTGTGTACTCAGTGACTACCTGAGAAAGTGCTGGCACTGAACCCTGGTTGTTAAGTTTTGCAGAAGCTCTTGAAGCAGTTGCTTTGTGATGTGGGGGACACTTGTGAAGCAGGATTATCCTCCCTTTGGAGGTGAACAGCCACAAGCACCCTGACTCTGCAAACACCTGAACTTCTTCATCATCCCATTTACTCAGGGCATGGGGAGGTGGGTGTTGGCATTGGAGCAGAAGACAACAAGGAGTTCTGCAACTGAGGGAATGTCTAGCCAGAATGCTCCCAAGAGTCTGGCCTGTTGCTGTTACCTACAGGAAGCTATCTTCAGGTTTCAAACAGAAGCCTGTTCCCATGGGCAGGATTTGCTATGACCTAGAGTGGAAAGGGTGTCCTTAATGTTGATGTTTTTCTCCAGAAAATACATTTCAGCCAGCCTAAGAATCCAGGACCATCACTCGGGAGGGAAGGAAGAGATCTCTGAAGTCATTTGAAGGTGAAAAATAATTCCACAGGAAGTACAATGATCTTAATTAAATATTAGCAGTAATTAGTCTAAAGAGCAAATGTTGGGAATATTAATTAGGGTCTCTCAGGAAAGGCTGTTGGTGTTAATAAGTAACTGTAGGGGGTCCTACCGACATCTGCTTGAGAACTCCAGGTACAGGATGAAGTCCTGAGCCTCAGGTATCAGGATGCCAACTGAAGGACTCTGAAGCCAGGCTTCAGACTTGAGATCATTCAGAGGTTTCCAAATTACTACCCCACTTCTGGCCAAGGAGGAGTTAACTTCTTTCTCTGGAAAAGAGAATTGCTGGCATCTTTGCACTAAATATCCCTGCACCTGACTTCTGCACAATAAGTACCATGCTATGTGTGAGGAATTTGGGAACCAACCCTTCTGCCACGTGGTTCTCCTGCCAAATGAGAGATGCCTAGGACGTGCAAGAAGATGGATGTTGGTTCACCTCCTCATTTTCCAAAGAACCACTGTGGCTGGTCCCTGAGTCTTTATTTCCTGGTTCTTGGCCGAACCATCTTTGACTGCAAAGTTAAGTTGGATTGAAGGTGGAATGTATTCAAAGTAGCGCCTCTGAACCTTGGCGTAATTAACATGTAGAACTCATGAATAATCCTTTGTGGGAGGGGCTGTCCTATACTGTAGGGCATTCAGCATCATACCTGACCTCTCCCTGCTAGATGCTAGGAGCACATCTTCCCTGGTTGTGGTTTAAAAATGTTTCTTGTCATTACCTAAAGTCCTCTGTGGAGCAGAGTCCCCTGTTTAAGAATGCATGATGAGCTGGGCATGATGGCACACACCTGTAATCTCTGCTCTCTGGGAAGCTGAGACAGGAGTATTACAAGTGTGACCCCCGTCTAATAGTATTTTGCCATAGTCATTAGAAAAGCCTTTTCTGCATAGATGCGGAGAGCAAAAGTTTAGACTTTGTTGGCCATGCAGTTTCCATCACAACTGTTCAAGTCTGCCACTAGCATAAAAATAGACATAGAGAGTATATAAACAAATAGGTATGGTTGTGTCCTAATAAAACTTTATTTACAAAAACAAGCAGTGGACCAGATTTGCCAAGTCCTCCTCCCATTTCTTCTATTGTCAGCTTCAGCTGCAAGAGCTCAGAGTTCATTCTTCAAGGGTGCATTTACTTAACAAACCTTTCTGCTTTCGGTTTTCCAGCTAACCTGCTACTGGAACTTGGCGATGGAACAGGGACTACAGAGCCAAGTTTCCTGTCCTCAAAGAGCTCACAGATAGGGAAATGGACAGTGGCAGTGCTTGGGACTATGTGAGATGTGGCTACAAGCTGTGGGAGAGCAGGGAGCAAAGGCAGTGAACCTGGGATCTAGGTGTCAAGGAATGTTGGCTAGAGAACAGAGTTCTTGATCTGGGACCTGAAAAAGAAGAGATCTCCAGGCAAGGTGGTAGGCAGGCTTTCCAAGCAGAGGGGGACAGCGAGTGTGAAGATGTGGTGTTGGCAGGAAGGACCTCTTCCTCTCTGTCACTGACAATGTCTTTGAGAGGACAGATGGAGTTCTTTCCAATGCAGAGTGTTCTCGTCCCTGCAGGAACCTTCCTCTTGAGCAGGTGCTGATGAGGTTGCTCCATTCTCTAGATGTTCCTGCAGTGACAAAAGGCCACCTGGTCATATATATCCTGGTGAAAGAATTGTCCCTGAAGGAGGAGGAGGGTCACCTTGGCCTTCATATCCCCAGTGTGTTATTCCATGCTCCCCCAGACACCCAAACCTGGAGGTTTCACAAGTCTATTTTTCCCTTTAGAGAGAAACCAACCCCTCTGAAAGGTTTTCAAGACCCCTATGTGTTTGGGGCTTCCAGTCAGCCACAGAGAAATGGGTTAGCTCTGTGATTTCTGTACGTCAGGACGTAGTCCTAGAATAGCCTAGGGATAGAAAAAGACTGTAGTTTAGTTATGAAATGGCAGAGGATTTTTTTTAATTAGTCAAAATCCTTTGGGTTGTAGGTAACAGAAAAATTACTTTAAACAAAAGAAGACAAAGGATAAAATATTTCAGTTATGCAATATGAGTAAGTTCTGGAGAGCTAATATACAGCTTGAGGACGACAGTTAAAAATACCATATTTTGTACTTGAAATGTGCTAAGAGGATACATCTTAAAATAAATCTTCTCACCACACCACACACACACAGTAACTATGTAGAGGTGAGAGATAAGTTAACTAGCTAAAATGTGGTGATCTTTCAACAACGTATACATACATCAAAACATTGTTACACATTTTAAATATATACAACTTTACGTTAATTATATCTCAATAAAGCTGTTGAAAAATAGGACGTGTGCTGCCTTGTGTAACTAAAGCAAACAGGGGTGGTACTAATTTGGTACAGCTGTATTCAAGATGGCAAATGATTCGCTAGGGACTCAGCTGATTACTTTCTGTCCTTCAAGTCCTCCACTCCTTCCACCTGCTTGTGGTCTCACCTGTGGGGAGGTCCTTTTACTCTAGGCATTTCTTGGAAGCTCCAGGCTAACATTATTTTTATAGCTGCCAATCACAGTGGAAGAAAACTTCTTTCCAAAACCTGCAGCAGAATCTCAGAGGAATTAAGCCTTGTCATGCAGGTCTAACACACTAAAGGCTCACTAAATAAATGGCCAGGAACCAGAATCCCCGAGGCTACAGTAGTAGAACCTTCTGATGGACAGAATACTGTCATGTGACAGCATTTAGCAGTAACCAGGGGCTGGGTTCAATCACCTGTGCACCAGGCAGGCTGAGGGGGAATGCTCCCCCCACCATGGAAACCAAGGTGCTGTCTCCCATGAAGCAGGTATAGATGCTGAGCTGCAATGATACTAAAGTTCTCTGTGGTTCCCAAAGAGTGCTATGTTTGTTGTTTTTGTGCAACAACCCAGCCTCAGCACAGGCGGACTCCCCACCACCTCAGATGGCACAGGAAAATGTTAGAAAGGGACATGTGTGTCTCCTTTGCTTCCAATGGCGCCAAGGTTTAGAAAAATTAGTCTGGAAGCGGAAGTAGCCTGATAGGAGTGTTTTCACTTGTGAAAGGTTTTACATATATCTAGAGCTCAATTCTCTTCAAAGCGTCCCCTTTAACATTCTAATTAAGGGTCCTCTCTAAACAATGTGCCTGCCCCCACTGACATGCCTGTGCTACAGATCAAGGTCCTTGTGCAGAATCAGCTCTGGAACGTTGGTGGCAACTACTTAGGAGATGTGAGCTGTCCTGACATTTTTGCCCTCCTATTGTCACAAGAGGGCTGAAGTCACATCTAATTGACCACAGACAATAGGAGAGACCACTGCATGGTGTGCTTAATTGCTGGGCTTTTTCCCCCCTTCTTCCGTCTCCGTCTCCTATTTTCCAACTATACAATGGCATCTCTTGAGACTATGAAGAATTTGGAACACTAGGTTACTGTTTCTTTTGCCTTCTGCGTGTGTGTGTGTGTGTGTGTGTGTGTGACTATGTGAGTATGTGAAGTGTGGTAGAGTTATGGAGGTGGAGGGAGAGAGATGTTTCTTGAAATGGAAACATTTGAATTCAGGGTGGTTTTTTTGTAATTCTTTTACTTCACTGTAATTATCATACTTCATGTTTAGGCTATAACTGAAGGACAAATTGTTATGTAATAATCTGAGTTTATAAAAAAATAAAGCAGGGGTTTGATGAGGCAGGCATTGACTTATGAGGCTAAGTCCAACATTTTGCAGAAAAGTTTGAAGGGGGGATGTCACAGAGGGGGAGGACATCTTAGTCTAAATTTGATCCAAATTTCCATTGGCTGCCCTATAACAGCACTAGGGAACAACACACACACACACACACACACACACACACACACACACATACTCACACACACCAGGCACACACAAGGGACCATTAAAAGGACCCATCCCATCCCATTATAGGAGCCAAGTCACATAAAACTTTGATTAAATTCAAATGCTTGGATGAATTGTCTCTCCTTTCAAGAACACACTCCTTCAATTTAATCTCTCTTGGCACTTTAAATATCAAATCAAGGCTTGCTGTCACTGTGGACAACTACATGCTCACAACATCCAAAACAGGAATAAAGCAAGAAACTCCCAGGAAATATCCAACCCGATAGGACACAGAGCCTCCCAACCCTGGAACATTAGGCTGTAGAAGTTGGGGAAAGTGACTTCATTGTTCTGTGCCTCGGTTTCTACATCTGTAAAATGGGGGTGCATAATGGTTCCAATTTGCTTATAGTACGTGCTGAGGGTTGCCTGGGATGGGTCCATCTCGGACTGGATCTGGAAGGTGCCTGGAAAGTGCAAGGAAACTGGAGTTGTTGGGCTGGGGGGAAAACTTTTGTCTGAAATGCTCTCATCAGTTCTTCTCCCTCTGTTCATTTTTTGATTTTTCAGGGTAATCAGGAAGCAGCGGCCGCCCCTGACACGATGGCTCAGCCTTACGCTTCAGCCCAGTTTGCTCCGCCTCAGAACGGCATCCCCGCGGAATACACGGCCCCTCACCCCCACCCCGCGCCAGAGTACACCGGCCAGAACACCGTCCCTGAGCACACGTTAAACCTGTACCCTCCCGCCCAGTCGCACTCTGAGCAGAGCCCCGCGGACACCAGCGCGCAGACGGTCTCCGGCACCGCCACAGTAAGTGGGCTCTGCCTGCCCGCCTGGACCCTGAGCATGGTCCAGGGGCGGGTGCCCCAGCCTGGTGCACCCCTCCACCCAGGCACTCTGGCGAGCAAAGCAGCTCTAACCCACCTTTACCATATTCCAGCTGTATCCTTTGCTGTTATTTAAATCAACATATTTTCCATTAGTCACATTTATTTTTAAAGGGAAGCATTCATCTACTTTCTGTTCATCTATTTTTCTATTTGCTGGTCTTACAGGACTAGTGGTGTGGCTTAGGGGCAGAGCGCTTTCCTAGCATGCTGGAGGTCTCAGGTTCCATCCCCAGAACTGAGAGGGGCAGAGTGGGTAGAACCTTATAGAGATAGTTGACAGATCATAAAATTCACCTATTTGGGGTGTAAAATTCACTGATTTTTAGAATACTTACAGATCTGTGCAACCATGGCCAGAACCTGCTTTTGGAACATTTCCATTACCTTTGAAAGAAATCTACTGACTCTTTCCACCATGACCCTCTGCTTCTGAGCAGAATGCTTTGAGAAGTCTTCTGTGTTGTGTGTTTATGTTCCCTGTTTCTGGATTATATTGCTGCTGGGCTATGGGGAAGGGGGAGCTAGAAACTGCAAGAAGGCAACAGTAGAGAACTTGGCTGGGCAAGAGAGCTGTTCTGGATCTTAATGTTGGTGGATGCAGGAGAGAAACTAAATTTTATTGCATGCAGATGGATTGAGTGAAATAAAAACAAAAAAAAAAACCATGTTCTCATCTCCATACGTGAAAACTAGTGCAAGGGAGTAGTAATAAAAGATAACCCTAAAGAAAAGTAATTATTTTAAAATTAAACTGTTCATTTGTATACCACCTGCAGTGATCCTGTGTATCACAGGACCTGAATGGGCCACATGCATACAGGAGACTCTGCCCTGAAGAATTCCTTAGAAGCCTAGACACACCAGGCCGTTAGTCTGGGGCATTTTGCAGTGGCAAAGAAATTCTGCTTCTTTCCTGTGCCTCCTAACCACTGCAAAGCCAGGATTGGGCAAGAAAATACAGGTTGGAAGTGCGGTGCATCGCCCAGGGTACAAGAAAACACTGGCTAACTTAGCTACTTGGCATTTTATTTATTTGGTTACTAGTTTGGGAAATATTAAAAATAATTGTAAGTTCTGAGATTTTTCATTGCCTCCCTCCCTCTTTGTTGGTAATACATAACTCATCTAAAATGTGTCATTTTTTTTTTTTTTTTTTTTTTTTTTTTTTTTTTT